CGATTTGGCACAATTTGAATCGTAGAATCGAAATATTGGCAAAACATTGGCATGTCATATCAGAAAAAGTCCGATTCTGTGTCAAAATATCTATATTAGAACAATACTAATTTTAAACAAATTTAAATTCTTAACAAATACGTATAAAAGTAAAAAAGCAAATTTAAATTCTAAAAAAAGGAAAAAAGCCAAGATAATTTAAAATAATTTTTTAAAAAAAATGTGCAAACGTGTAAAAGATTTAATTCTCGAACTAATCTACAATACCATTTAAATTCAGAAGCATAAGCAAATCAAGTGCAATATTTATCCATGAAAATAAATCTACTAATTTAATAAATTAAAATTAAATTAAACAATTTTTTAAAAAAATGCATATGTGAATGACCGTAGAGTAGGCAGGAGACAGACTTATCAAGGGGAAGTTGCCTCCAAACCTATCTCCCCAATCATTCAATTCGTGTTTCGTCATTCATGCAGGCAAGGGTAAAAGTCAAAACCAAAAGTAATTCCAATAAAGTGGTAACCTTAGAAATTAAGTATTAACATTTAAGAATTAAAGTTCAAAAAGGAAAATACTAATGAAGTCTTTTGAGAAACAAGCAAGTAAAGTCAAGAATTAAACTTTTTCTTAAAAAATTAAATTTTTTAAAAAAATTAATGTTTTATAAAATAATAAAAAAATCTAGAAACCAATGTATTTTAGAAATCCTTGTCTACAGAAACTTCCCCTACACGAATATGCATATCATAAAAAGAAACTATAAAAGAACTATACATAATCCAGATAAACCAATAAGAAACAAAAGAACTAAGTCACATTTTTAAAAAAACATATATATTTAAAAATATAATTTCATATTTAGAAAATACTTAGATACTACATAAAAATTTGTTAAAAAAATACTTAAAGCAAGTAAATAGTAAGTTTTAATTCTAACTACCTACTATATGAGTGTTGGGGTCTGCAAATGTGTTGTGAAAGAGAAGTAAGTGTGTTCTTCAAATTATATAGATGGCGCTTATGTAGGTAAAGTTGAGTGTCAAGCTGCTATCTTTGTTATAGTAAAAATTTTTGAAAACATTAATATTAAATTAAATTAAATTAAATTAAAAATCCTAAAGGTAGTAATATCATTATTAAGGGAGTTAAGTAACTGAGCCAATCAAGAGATGTAAGTTTGCTTTGAAGGAAATTTAAAGTGAAGTGGTATGTGAAAAAAATGTAAACTGTTTGTAATTTTGAAATGTGTGTTCTGTTGAAAAATTGTGAAAATGTTAAAAAAAATTAAGTGAAAGATATTTTGTGAAAATTGCAAAAAATTAAAGTAATTAAGAAAAACTGAAATGTGTTAATATTAAGTTTTAAAGTAAAATTTCCCAAAATTTTTTTGAATGAAGTCCTTAAAAAAACCTCTAAAAATTCCCAGAAATTTCTCAAAAATTCCTTTAGGAAGTTAAATAAAACTTAAAATTGATGAAAGAAAATATTAAAAGTTTAATGAACTTGATTTGAATTGGAATATCAAAACTTAACGAAATACTGGCTAAAGTATGAAAAATTAGAAGAAGAAGATTAAAATCTTCACTCAATTCGGGCAATAATTAAGACTTTTGAAAAGAGTTGGCCCTATATTAGTAAAAGGAAAGAATCCAGTATTGATTACATATACATATTTACAAAATATTTACAATAAAAATTTACAATAATTTCTCTACTCTTTTATATCCTTCATTACCCTCCAGCTAAGGTTTAAGGTAATGTTATCATATCCAAAAAAGCCAAAATATTATAAAGTAAAGTCAAGGCCTGCCTTTTTAATATATAAATTAATAAATTTTGGGGGTACTTGGTTATCAACTTGTACGTTAATTAGTTTTATGATTTCTTCCTTTAAATCGTCATTTTCAGTGCATATATTGTTTATTCTGATAATTTGGCTATGAAACGTGTTTTCTATTACTTTTCTAGAGATATTAGAGTTCCAATTAATTAGTTTAATAGTAGGAAAATGTAAGTTCCTTCTTTTATCAAATAATTTAATTTTGCTGTGTTTAATAATTTGCAGGTCTAGGAATTCAATAGTATCTTGATTCGTATTCGTTTTATTAAGTGTTAAACTATTTGGGTAAATTTTGAATTGCTCAAAAGTAGAATTATTATTGAAAGTTATAATATCATCTATGCATCTAAAAGTATATGAGCAAAATAGCTTTAATTCATTTTTATTTAAAACTGAGTTGGAATTTATATTCAAATGTAAAAAGAAATAGGTTACAAATTTGTGTAGAACTGTTTGCTCCCATAGGAATTCCTCTAACTTGCTGAAAGATCTTATTATTGTATTTGATGTAGTTATTAAATAATGCACAATTCAGATAAGTATTCCATCTTTCAATACAAAGGATGTCAAGTACGTCAGGAAAAAGTTGTGGGAGTTGCATTAAACTAGTAAAAATTTCTTCTAATGGCAGAGAAGTATAAAGGTTTTCAAAGTCATAGCAGTTAATTTTCTTGATTGTTAAACTTTTAAAACTGCTGAGAACTAGAGCATTATTATAAATAATCCAACTATAATTGTTTTGTTTATTAACGAGATGTCGGATTAAATTACAGATTTTTTTAAGTATAATTGCAAATGTGTAATCTATGTTCTTTTTATAATTATTTGTACCATTAGCAATAAATCTAAATTTGAGTGGTGATTTATGAAATTTTGGGAGAGCATATAGATTTGCTAATCTATTGTAGTTAGATGGTTGTGAAATTTGCAGCTTCTTATGAAATGCTTTTAGCTTTTTTGCAATAACATTTTCTTGTAGATTGGTGAGTTTGTAAATAATGGCATTATTGAGTTCAGTATTAATTAATGAGACATAAAAAATTTTCATATTATGCTAGAGTTATTATTGGCTTTGTCAATTTTGGTAATTATGAACTTTTGTTTTAAATCCTGTAAAAGAGGTATGAGAATATTCCACTGTAAATTGCTATTAAAATCAATTTTTCCAATTTTTTGCTTGTATTCTTCTAATACTGCATGTTTCCATGCTATAAAGGTAGAATTTGGAATATTTAATTTGAAACTAGTTTTAACTATAAATTCGTCTATATTTTTTACGAAACTTTTAAAACTGTGATGTTTGTTAATTTTTAGTACTGGTCTGAATTTGGTACCTTTTTCCATTAAAATTCTTAAATATTGGTTTTGAACTATTACTAAATTGCCTGTTATAATATGTTGATGAAATTTATCTATGAAATCTTTGTATTGAAGCTCTTTACAGTATCAATGGACTGTAGTAGTTAATTCATGGTGGTTAATTAGCAATTTACTAAGAGGTTTTTGATACTTGAAAGCTGGTCAGATCTGTACTTTGGTAGCTGGAAAAAGTTGTTGACTTTTTTCTGAAAATTTTGCTAAACTGAATATGATCATAGTTAGGATGAAGGAAATTGATTTTGCTGTAATATTTATTGTATTTGTTATTTGTAGAGAACTTATAATTGCAAAAGTCATTAATAAGGTCTTTGATTATATTGTGCCCTGTAAAATGCTGTTTTACAAATTTTATAAGTAATTTTAAGAAATTGTGCGTACAAGTATGCAACCAAGTAATAATATTTTTAGTGAAATTATTTAGTAAGAAAGTAATTATTTATATTATCGTTTAACTTTTTTGTATCTATTTTTGAAAGAAGTTTATTTTTATGTTTATTACCTGCTCTGGTTCCTCGTAAAGCTTTTTTTACTGAATAAATTTAAAATGGCTGTAAGTTGGAATTTCAGAATTTAATTTAATGTGTTGGCTGAATGTATTGAGTCCATAAGGATAAAGTGTTTTGAATTTAAGCACGTAGAGTGACTCTTGAAATAATCTAACTTTGTATTCTGGTACAATGTCCAAAATTTGAATATTAATTTTTTTGAAATCATGTATTTGAAAATGTTCTAATTCAGCTGTATTAAGTGTGCTAAAATTAGTAGTTGCAAATTTTTTAATGTGTGCTCTGTGGTTGTTAATTCTAATATTAAGACTATTTTTGGTTTGTCCAACATATTTAAGATTTCATGTGTTACAAGTGATGAGATAAATGCAATTATAAGTTTTTCAAAAGGGGAGTTGTTTAGTGGCTGTGATATTAAAAGGCATATTGCTAACTTTACAAGTAAGTCATTTGCTAGAATGACATTTATGGAAATTTATGTGATTGATACAAGCCGTTATAAAAGTAAAGAGGGAGCTAACCTACAATACAGTGAATTTTTAAAGTAAAAATTCTTAATCAATTTTTGGACAGAAAAATTTTAAAAAACTGGGAATTTAAATGTTATTGCTAATTAATTCACTAAATTAATAAAAAATGAACTATTGTATTAAACTATTTAAGTTAATTAAACTAAATTATTTAAAGAGCGAGTTTAAAATAAAAACAAAACTATTAGAAAAAGAAAGTTGTTTTTAATAAAAGAGAAAGAAAGTTGTTTTTAATAAAAAGAGAAACAAACCAGGTAATTAGCGCTAAAGCTGCTAAGTACAAATAAAATTGTTTCATAAGAATAAATTGAATTCAATTTATTCTTATGAAACAATTTAGAACAATACTATATATAAATCGAATACATATCCAAGTCGCGCTTTCGAGACATGAAAAATGCAAGTTTAATTTCCGCAATCGACCTAGTAGAAGGGGAGATATAGTACAGTACCAATTTTTTTTCCGCAGTGTATTATAAATATTTCAATTATATAGTTATGACGTCATATGAGGAAGTTTCAGGTGAAAAATTATGTACTCCAATTTAAGCTAACAAAATAATGTTTTCATTCTTAAGCAATAAACATCAATGCATTTTTTACATTAATAATTAAATTTTCTTTAAGTTTTATGTTACTAAATCGTTTAACTGATATAAATTTGCATACATTGTAATTCGTTACAAACTGGGATATTTCTTACATACTTAAAGATAAGTTTAGTTTTATTATGTACTAACCCAGCACAAATCCTTCTTTATTCCATTGTACTGTGCCAGCCTTATTTGCCACATGACACTGGAATTCCACATTTTGACTTTCGGCTATTTCTGTGTCGTTTGGACGAACACGAATGTATTGTTGTTGGCAGTGGATGCCTGAAACAAAATAATAATATTTAAGTAACAGCATTACAAATCTGTTCAAGAAAGTGTCTAAGTTAATGAGCAGTAATTCATAATTCAGTTCTTAAAAGCAGGAAAAATAGAAAAGTCTCTGAAGTTGGACTTCTGGTATTAATAAAGGCTAGTAAGTCTTACCAGAGTTACACAATGTAAAGCCGTATAAAGGCTACATGATAAATCCTGATAAGGTAACACGTAAGCAGCACCCTACTTACATGTGACAACTATGCCTTCTATAATTCTCTGTAGTCAGGAAATTAACGTAAAATGTCGTTCTTGATGACATAAAGTCATAGACTTGCATTTCTTATTTTTATGACTTATTATTCAATTTTCCATCAACAATAATAAATAATTAAAATTAACCATAATAAATCATTTTTTCTCAAAATGTTAAATTAAAATTCAAGAAGGTTTTACAAAATTTCTGACAGAAAATATGTAAAACAAAGGGAAGAAAACATTGATTACATATATAAAGTTCAAGCGTAATAATAACATGCCACTCATACATCCGTTATTGCATTAAATTTGTAAAAATAATAAAAAACTTAAAAGTTAGCCCAAATTATTAAAACTCATAAAATACTTAATGAGCTAATAGTAGTAAAATAATTTGTCATATAGTTTAATGGTAACAAGAGATTAAATAATTAGTTTTAAAATTTGTTCTAAAATTTTATACCACGAATAATAAAAGCGTGGCTCATACTAATATATGAAATTAATGGTTTATACTTTTAATAGTGCAATTCGATTGTTAGATTTACTTTCTTAAGCGCCCATGCTTTTATTTATCGTGATAAAAATTTTAGATAAATTTTGCAAAGAGAATTATTTAAGTTTTTTCTCATTAAATTACATGATAAATTATATTTTTCATTATTTTATGAGTTTTAAATAACTGTTCATTTTATTAAAGAATTTATCATTTTAATTTTTATCTTTTAGTCGCAATAACACGCTGTAATCAAATTATTAAACTAAACAATCCCTTTTCAAATATGAATAATCACTCTTTTATTTCAGCAATTAATTTTTCTACACCAAAATATCGCAAAAATTCAGCTGTTTTGCCGAAACGAAAACTAGAAATTAAATCTCTTATATTAAAATCTCTTACAAACTTCATTGAAAAGATGTTTTCGCTCTATCCGGTAGAATAACCAGTAAAAATATGAGATTTTTAGTTTGTTCGTTGAGGAAAGATATAAACGAAAAGTAGTTTCAGCATTAAAATTTAAAAATTCTGACTATAATTTTGAAACAATTGCTTCACCATATTGTGTTGTCTATATTTTTCACTATAGTTGCGTGTACTAGATTTTTCACTTCAAAATCAGTTTCGGTAACATTATTATTCTTCAACGAATTCTCTAGATGAAAATATTTCGGGCCTTCCAATATTCTTCCTTTCATAACCTTTGCAAACTTCTAATCTTTATAACAGATACATTTTTGGATGTTAGAATGAATGTTTTTGGATATTGGAAGTCCCATAAAGGCATACAATGTTACGCGGCCCAGTAACATTAATAAAATCAATTCTTAAATTGAGACGCTGAGAAAAATGTATACATACTTATGAAATGAAACAAAAATAAAAAAATAACACAGAATATTTCATTATGACGAATTGAAGTACGTTCCCCAGTAATTACCGAAGGAGGAAGCGATGTCTCATATTGAAACATACTTTTTAAAATGTAGAAATTAGCCCAATTAATCTTTTTCTATCATTCTTGTCTAAAAGCAATGGGTTTGCTTTATAATCACTAAATCGTATCGTGTAAACTAAGAAATTCAAACTTTTGCAACCAAGACGTTGTTAGATGTTGAAATTTTAAAATCATAAATGTCAAATAGTGGGAAAAATAAAGCAATTTTCGAAAATTCTGAAAAATTTCAGAAATGATGTTAAAATTTTGTTACAAACTTCATTTAAGAGATTCCTTAACATTGTATATTTGATGTTGCAAGCAATAAATTTCTGAAAGTTAGTTTGTTCGTCAAACGAGGATATATGCGAAAAATCAGTTAAATATCAAATTTAAAATATCTATTAATTTTGAAAATCTCGCTTCATCAGAGTGCTTCAACACCCATGAATAGTCTGTTGTACAGAAGCTGACCTGGACGGCTTATCAGGAAATAGGCAAAAACTGATGATAAACGTGTGACCATAGTGACAAACTCCATGACTGAGCTAAGCAAAGGTTAGAAAAACCTCCAAATTTGAATACTTGGGGAATTCACAATAGAAAATATGTTATACTGCGCCCCACCCAAAAATGGGACAGTTCTGTATCTTCCGTTCTACTCGGCCGATTGACGAAATTTAACTTGCGTTTTTCATGTCTCGAAAGCGCGACTTAGAATATGTATTAGATTTATATATAGCATTGTTCTAATATAGGTATTTTGACACAAAATTGGACTTTCTCTGAAATAACATACCAAGTTTTTCCTCTATTTCGATTCTACGACTCAAAATACGTTACCAAGTTTTGTAAAAATCGCACGAGTAGTTTTTAAAAAATTCGCTCTCAAAATTTTAGCTTCTTAATGTTAATTGAGTTTGGTATATATTATTAATTTCTCTTTTTTTATTAAACTTATTTTGATTCTTCCTTTCAGATTTCGAAATTCAGGTTCATTCCAAATAGAATTCACCCATTTTTTTATAATTTATGTTTAAAATTTGTGTTTTGAAAAATTTTTTTAAATTTTTCAAAAACATTTTCGAATTATGATCTATAAAATTTTTACCAACATATTAAAGTAGATGTATTTCTATGCATACATGCAAAAATTACAGTTTTGTATTCAAAATTTTCGAAGATGTACGTGAGAATATATATTGGCGCGTTTTGAAATTTGGCATAATTGTTGAAATTATTTGCAGTGTGTGTGTGTGTCTGATTATGGTAAAGCCTCGAGGGCTATCTGCCTAAGAGGAGGGATGCTTCGTGGAGAACTTTCTAAGGGAAACTGCCTCGTGTACACGTTACACATGGGGAAAACCACGAAAATGCTCATGCAGCCAGCCCGTTCGCGGTATTCGAACTTCGGACCGAACTACCAGTGTTCAGCGATTTTACCGCTCGGCCGCTGGTAGGCGAAATTTTTTGGAAGTAGTAGTGTGCGAATTCTTTTCCGCTCATGAACAATGTAAAAAGGTAGGAACGAGGTGCCTTTTTTCCCGCTCCGACATAATGGAAGGGAAGGGAAATTTGGTTTTCACGTATTAAGAAGTTAGCCAACTGAGTTATTCTTGGCGCAAACTAAAGAAATTGATCCAACATAAATTTTTGAATTTTTCCGTAAATTTTGCACTAAATTTTACAAAATTTAATATCTAGGCATAATTTGAGTCGTAGAATCAAAATATGGAAAAAGATTGATATGTTATTTCAGAAAATGTCCGATTTTGGGTCAAAAGACCTATGTTAGAACAATACTATATATAAATGTAATATGCAGCCTAAGTCGCGCTTTCAAGACATGAAAAACGCAAGTTGAATTTTGTCAATCGGCTCAGTAGAACGGGAGATATAGAACTGTCCCATTTTGTTTTCTTTTTTCTTTTCTTTTCTTTTTTTCTTTGTGTACATAATAAAAGATAACTATAGATATAAATGTTCGCAAAGCAATTCTAACATACAACTCACTTCATCTTTGTGAAATTTTAAATACTTGAGCACTCACTACCTAGCCTTAAGAACTAGTGTTATTAACATTTCATTTACAAAAGGATTCATTAAAGAGAAGGGGTAAATTAAAGTGCATTTCCTGGAAGAACCTCTCTAAGATCTTCCTACCCACTGAATTTATTCGCTGGTTTTATTTCTTGGTCTACATTGTGTCATAGGTACTGAAGCAAAAATAAACATATGTCGCAGCTTATCGAGGAAACCAATTTATCTTTCCTAATTTTGTGCCTCAGAAGCCATTCATGCATCACTCTTTCTGTTATTTAATAGATGCTTGGTAGAAGGACGTAAGAGTAACAAATTACGCATAGTTGCGACAGCTTATTTATAATTGTGCAACACCGTGGAAAACATTCTTCAGAATGATATATAGTCAATAATAATTAAGAGGAACCGTATATCCGGCATATGTATTAATCTATATGCTCTTGGAAGGTTATGGGGAGGGGTTTCTTGTTTAATGGATGCCGTTATTATTTATTCAAGAATTCCCATATTTGTCTCAAGCAACAAATGTAACAGATTTATTATAAATCGCGTTGTATGGCATTCGAAATAAACCATATTTCTCGGAATACATGTTTTGATGTTACATGTGACATATTTATAACTCTACAGTTTTATATTATTACAGAAATTTTAAAAAGATCAGTGTATAAAAATATCATAAAGTACATTAAATATTTGAAATTAAAGGCTTTGTTTTGTTTGTTTCGTCGTTAACTCTAATTCTAACTCCTCGTCTTCCACAAAGTATATAACAAGGCTTCCACAATTTAGTTATAGCACTAACAAAATAAATAAAAAAACTAATGCAAAATGGGGAATTTAAGTAGAATAAAAATAAGATAAACTAAACTCATGGCACTACAGTCCTCAGAGAACCATGGCCGGCACTGCTCTGGCCGATTAATAGTTTCGCCATATTCTGAGCATCAAGTACTGTTTTCAGGTCTACAAATCCAAGCGGATAAGTACTTAGGACTTTCAATTGAGGCACGGAATTAAATTATTTTAAGTTAATTTTTAACTTAATTTAGACACGTTTAACGTAATCGTTTTAAGTTAAATTTATTGCCATTCAAGTTTTAAGAAAGCGTGTAGTATTTGGTTTTGTGTTTTGAATAATAGAATCAAATATTCTGGATTTTGAACTAGCATTATGAAAACGTTTAATATCTGCAGTGTTCACGTTAGTTTTTGCAACATTTTGCATGTAGTTTGAATGTGAAAAGAAATCATTTCTATAATTCTGACTGT